GTGGGAGCCCGTTACCATATAGACTATTGCAAGGACTTAGCTTTACTCTAAGTGAGACAGGGAGGTAGTACAGGGTTCTCGCTGCAGAAGAAACATGACGTGTCTTATGTTTGAGCAAGATCACAGTGGCTCTCATGCTGAAAATGGACTGAAAAGGAGCATGAGTGGAAAGACGGAGGCCAGTCAGGAAGCTGTCGCCATGATCCATGAGAGAGGCCATGGTGACAGGGGAGAGTGGAGGCAGTGAGAAGTGGTCAAACTCTGGTTATATTTTGAGATTTGTTGACAAATCAGGTGTGGGCATGTGTATGAGAGAGCAATGAAGCAGCTAAGAGGTGGAGGGAAGAGTGATCAAAGATTAATACAAGGATTTTGTCCTGAGCAACTAGAAGGATGGATTGCCTTTAAACAGGATGTAAAAATATGGTGGAAAAAGCTTTTCAGTTTTTCAGTTTTTGACATGTTAGGTTAGGCAGTAGGCCATGTGCGCCTGGAGTTCAGGAAGAGGCTCTGGGTTGGATTTGTCAGCATATGCGTCTGTCTATGCCAGGAGACAAAAGAGATCACCAAACAAATCCAGACATAGTCTCCTTAACAGTTTCAGCAATGAAGAAGAATAAGTACAAGGAAACTTAATGAAGAGCTTAGGGACTTAAAGATATATATAATGGATTAGTACTCGGCCATTAAAAAGAGTGAAATCTTGCCACTTCTGACAACATGGATGGATCTAGAGTGTATTATGCCAAGTGAAATAAGTTAGACAGAGAAAGACAAATAACATATGACTTCACTTATGTGTGGGATCTAAAAAAATAAATGAAAAAAACTCATAGATACAGACAACAATTTGTTGGTTGACAGATGGGAGGGCTGTTGGGAGGGGGATAGGTGCAAAAGGGGTGGGGATTAAGAAGTTCAAATTGCCAATTATAAGAACAGTCACGGGATGTAAAGTACAGCATAGGGATATCGTTAACAATATTGTAAGAACTATGTATAGTGTCAGATGAGTACTACACTTATCTGGATAATTATTTTATAAATTGTATGAATATCTAATCACTACGTTGTACACCTACAAATAATATAATATTGAAAGCCAACTATATTTAAAAAATGACCGAAGGTGGGGGGTGAGAGAGAGAGAGAGAGAGAGAGAGAGAGAGAGAGAGAGAGAATGAGAATGTATTACCTGAAAGGAAAGTTGAAGAAAGTACTTGAAAGAGGAGGCGGTGATCAGCTGTGTCCTACAATGAAGCCAGCGGGGTGGCTTGGACTTCAGTCTGCAGATTGCCTCTGACCTTGACAAGACCTTTGCAGGTGGGTAGAGGGGTGAGAGCTGGACTAGTGTGACCTTGGTAAGAAATGAAGGTAAGAAATGAGGTGCACCTGTAGGGGTGAGTGAGTCCTGAGAAGGTTGTTTGGTTTTTGTTTAGGGTGGGAGGACAAACAGCCTATTTGTAGCCTGAGCTTCCTCTGCGTTTCTGGGGATTAGATACCGAATTACTGATGGAAACCTATGGGAACAGGAGTTTTGATTGGAAGTCCAGGCTGTGTGAACAGATCATTTTGGATCACGGGGCCTTTGGGAAAGGTCAGTGCTGCCCTGGATGACATGAGAATTCTGGCATCAAGGAGAGAAACAGAGACGCCAGAAGAAGATGGGTAGGACAGCAGAAGAGAAAGGATCCACATCAGATACTGCCCATTTGCATGTTGCATAGAGGTGAGATTACTGCTGTCTCGAAGGGGTCGATGAAAAATCTTCCACATGCAACAGAAGTTTAAACCTTAACAAAACAATTTAATAGAATTTCTTCTTCCATGCCCAACTCTTCTCTGTGGGAGAGGTCATTTTGAATGGGTTTAAAGGTGTAGGGGGGCGGCATTTTTGTACCCTGGACCCTGGAAACCAGCATGCCTTCTGATGAGGAACTAGAACAGTGCTTTATGTTAAGTAACATATCTGTATAACACTGTCTGCTGAGAGCTCTGTTATCCAGCAATGCAAGTGTCCTAATGGATCAAGTAATCTAGCTAACAAGCACCTACAACATACAGTTTAAATTATCAGTGTGGAAATAAGTGTATGTCTGTGTGCATTGTAGCAGTGGAGTTGAACACTGGTAGGAGAGTCTTATCAGCCTGCTCCTATGATGCCAGTGACTTTGTTTGGGCACTACAGGTTCAGGAACTGGTTCTTTTCCTTCCAAGAGTAGAGGCTTTATTTCATTCATCCAGCACTTGATCCATACGCACAGTATGGGCTCTGCAGAGATCATTTCTCTCAGTCATGGGATTGGGGGAAAGACTAAGCAACTAATTAATCAAAGAGATTATGAGAGTTGGGGAGCCTTCAGACCTCACTAGCATCATCCTCCAAAAGAGTCATGTATTTCCTGTATCTTCAAAGAGTATACTTCGCATTCTTTAGGGCATAACGTACTCACGGACAACTGCAAATATTCCTCAATGTATCCTCTGTTTTTACAGCTTTCTTTTTGGAAAACGGTTACAGTGTGGTCTGAAACACTGGGTTATAAATTTAAAAAGACTAGATTCTAGTACACATGGTTCTTTAATTGTCACTTTGGGAAACACAATCTCCAAATTACTCTGTTCTCCCATTTCATATATTGATATAACATTGTTACTGCATACTTTATAAACTTGTGTGGATATAGTAGTATGGAAAACAGTAGAGTATCTTAAGAAAAAAATGTTACCTAACAGCCATGGATAATGACTTGTTTTATGAGTTATCAATTTTAAGCGTTTGTATTATATTTTGGATTGGTATTTTATTATTTTCTCTTTGCTCCAATATTTAAGACATACATTAACAGTTAAGGATGTAACAAGAGAGAAAAGTTACGCTTAACTTACATGAAACTATTCATAGTACCAGTATAATAAGCCACTTTGCTTAGTCAATTGGTACATTAAAATAAATCTTACTAATATGAGTTAGAATTCACCAATATGTAAAGTTGAAATTTTAACTGTCACAGAAATAGTGATAAAAATAACACTTCTACCACATTTTAAAAATTGATTTTTCTTTTTCAGATTTAAAGTGTTAAACTCTTCACTTTGGCCAAATTATTACAAAGAGGTAGTTCTGTGGATTATTTTTATACTAGAATAATCTTTCATTATTAATCCATCTAAGTCTTCTCTGAAATCAGTTCATCAGGACTGCCAATTAAAAATAGCAAATGTGTGCGTTCAATTTTAAGAATTAAAAATAATGCCTTGGGAGCAGCATTTGTTTCCTGTGGTGAGAGGATTGTTGGATTTTCCAATTAAACAAGTCTCCATACTGGAAATGAGTAGTCAATTATGAAAATTATATTTGAATAGCCAATTTGCATATCCCTAATTGTATTCATTTCTTTTGAAAGTTTGAACTTGGAATTTATGATGTTTTGATTGGTTACCCCTTTGCTTGTGTCATTAATACTTTTGCTAATAAGGTTCCCTCGTGACCGGGGCTTGGAATGCCTTTCCTAAATACATGTTTGAATCATAGGTAGGCTTGTTTTACTTAATGAGTGAAAACATGTGGAGATTTACTAGCAGTTTTCAAATTTGCACACTCTGCACTTTATTGGGTTGGTAGTCACATCCCTGAGCTGCCCACTGCACTTGCATTTGGACTTACCACATCGATAATGAGAGGCTTTTGAGGTTTTTCAATGGTAGTGCTGTCTGCTGGCCAAAAATGCAGTTCTAGCTGGGGTGCTCTCACTGTTTGTACAGCAGTATTTGCACAGTTAATGGAATATTTTATGATATTTTGCCCTTATTTTATAGAGAGTGACTTGGAAACTGGCAAACATTTTTATATTAATGACATGTGAAATAAAATTTAGATGAAGATGGCAATAATTAGGTTAAAAGTGCTGATGTTTATCCTCAGTCAGATTGTTATTCATTGGATTTAAACCAGTCAAATAATCAGTCATGAAGGAAAAGAACAAAACTAAAGGCATGCATAAATACGGATCATCCGTGTACACAAGATAAACACACATTCTGTGTCAATATACACACTTTATTTATCAATTTATTATGATTGGATCTAAAAGGAAAGATATGATTATGGATTTCATAATGTCTCCTATTCCATTTCTGCATATTGAACTTTTATTTTTCAGAACAAGTCTTAAAAAGAGATACTGAAATTGTTTTAGGCTTAATAGGACTGGGGAGGAGAGGAAGCGGCCATTTCATTCCTTCAAGAGAGAGAACCAAAATTGGTTCTCTATTTCAGGAATCAACAAATAAACCATTAATTTTATCCTGGCCATGGTCCTTTTAGACATAATACTGAAGTAAGAGTTGTGGGTACAGTACTCTCCAATTCCATCCATGCTGTTGTGAAGCGTACGAGTTCTTTCTTTCTGCTGCATTGTATTCCATTGTGTAGATGTACCACAGTTTTTTGATCCACACACTTACTGATGGCATGGAGAACTGGTGAGCATCATGCTAAGTGAAATAAGCCAGCTGGTGAAAGACAAATACCATATGATCTCGCCTGTAAGCAGAACCTAATCAACAAAACAAATAACTGAGTGAAATAGAGTCAGAGGCATTGAAATAAAGAACAAACTGACAGTGACCAGAGGCGGGTGGGAGGGGGACAATGGGGAAAAGAAGGGGAAGGGGGAAAGGACCTTGGACAAAGACAATGGTGCGGGGGCGGGGGGGCGTTGAAAATGGGAGGTGGGCAGTAAGTAGCCCGGGGTAGAGTAATGGGGGGAAAATGGGGACAACTATAATTGAACAACAATAAAAAAAATTTTCTTAAAGAGAGAAAAAAAATAAAGGTTTAAACTAAAAAAAAAAAAAGTTTTGGGTATAGTCACATTCAAGTGTTAAGTTTTCAGAGGCCTTTTTCTTTAAAACCAAATATAAATCTCAGCTAGATGCAGTATCTGGGTGATATGTGTGCCCAATGAAGTAATTAGCGTTGTTGGATTTGTTTGTAGCTGATCGCTGTGTTTGACGAACAAGAACCACTCCACAAGATTGAGAGCCCCGGTGGAAACCCTGCGGGCCGGCAGAGCCCAGACGCTTTTGAGACAGAAGTGGCTGCCCAACTGGCTGCATTTAAACCAATTGGTGGGGAAATTGAAGTAACCCCTTCTGCTCTGAAATTAGGTATGTGTATTTGTTGCGGTATGATTTTCTACCTTGTTGGTATACATCGCCTTGCTATGAGTTGCTCCTGCATTGTGACTGATCTTGTTAGTATCTTTCTTCTAAAAAACAAAAACAAAACCTGGTTTCTTTCTCTGCATTATTTTAAATAGTAGTAGCAGCAGCAGCAGTATTTTGCATAGCTCTTTGCAGCTGTTGAAGCTCAGAGAAGTGGATGCAGTTTTTTCCTTGAATTGCAGGTGAATCTGCATCTGAATTGTGTGCCCTTGATATATCATAGGGGAGGGATAAGAATGTAAGTGATGAGGTTCGTCTACAGCCTAGGAGGATCACTTTTAAAAAAGTCCCTGGAAATGTCATTTGGAGTAAGCGAAGCATGATCAAGGACTCTGGACTAGAAATAAAGGTCACTTTCTGTTTTAACCACCTTCTTTTTCTCCCAAACTACTATACACATCTCAGAGTTTGCGGAAAACATTTTAAAGTTAGTTTCTTAATTCTGTCCTATTGGTTTATTTGAACAAGAGCAACTTACCCAGTAATTTTCCTCAGAATTATTCTTCTATTATATTTGTTTTGAAGGTGCGGGTAGAAGGAAAAAAGAACGTCTTCTCAAGTTTCAGTGAATTTACAACTGTAAAAGAAAAAAAATGTCAGTTTTTGGTGATACCTCTTACAGATAAGTGTAGGTCAGGCTAACAGTATGAAGTTTTTGAAGACTTTAATATTTTGGTACTTAGAACAATTTTTATTCCTGTGGAATGTATGTGTACATTTTGAGACAGCTTTAAGCACCTGTTATAGGTTAATTTCCAAGCTGGAACAGAGGCTTTTTCCACTTTGCTTTTTAAAGCAAAGCATATGCTTAAAATTGTAAAAAGTGTACATGCTACTGGTCTTCCCCATTAGGAACAAAATGGATACTGTCAAGTTTATTTTTACATACCACAATGCTGAATATCGATATTTTGCACTGATTTTCTGAAAAGCATCTGTAGTGCCCCTTTTAAGAGAACCAAGTGGAAATTAATGATCTATAGTTTTCACGATTTTCCTCTATCCTTTGAAAAGCAAGCTAGTGAAGCAGTCTGCTGAACACCGACAGTGGGGGGCTTTGTGGCGGCTTCTGCTCATGAGAAGCGAGGTTTGTGGCTCCAACAGCCTCACAGCCCTGTCATTCATTTGCATAATGGATGCCTTTTTTATCCATTATGCAAATGGCATGGGAGGAAAATTAGGCAATAAGGGAAGACGAAAGGAGAAAATTGCTCTTGCTTGCTTTAATATTCTATTTATAAGCAAGCACTGTGGTCTTCAAAAGGCTGAACCTCTGAGTACCACTGTGTCTGGGAGTTTGTTTTCACCATTCTTTTATGAGCATTCTCAGAGAAACAAAGTTTGTTTTTCTTTAGCTTCTTCATAGTTTCTTTTGTGAACCATCTGAGCAACATAACTATGCAGGAAGAAAAGTAAGCTGAGGTTTCTCTTCTTTGCAAGTGGACTTTCTACTTCTTCAATATTGATTTTTGGTAAGACGGAGACAGAAGATAATATTTATTTATTAAATGGTGACAACAGAACAGGGTCTATGCTCCAGGGCATACATGAAGCGTTCCAAATCCTTTATTCATAACAACTCAGTTAAGCCTCATAATACTTAATTGAGTTCTGTTATTCCCTTCATTTAAGAGATGGGGAGATAGGCACAGAGCAGTTAAGTAACTCATCCAAAATCACAAAACTATTAGGTGACAAGGCCAGAATTTGAACTCTTGCTGGGTCCTGTGTCAGGAACAATTTTGCTGTGTCCCTTTCATGCTCCATTTGTAAATAAAATAAAATAAAATAAAATAAAATCTACAATAAAATAAAATTAAGTAAAATATAAAATATTTGATATTACTTTCCTGGGATTTACTTTGTGAATATGATCAAAACCTGCAAACGCTGAACTCTTTGGCTTCAAGTTTCATTCCCCCTAAGACTGTAGATTAAAGAATGAGATCACATGACCTTCACCATTAGGTGATCAGGGTTGCGTTCCAGTTACTTGGTCTGAAATCATGGTAGCATCTCCACTTCCTCCTTTTTCTTCCCCCCATCTCCACTTTCTTCAGCCTGCATGTCCGTGGCCATTGCAGCGAGCCAGGGCTTTGTCATTAATCAGACTCTTGCACAGGCCTCGAATGACCTCTTTCTGTACAGTGCTGCTTTCTCCAGTCCCTGTGTCTGCCAGAGCTGCCTTTAAATCACAAATCGATTATATAACTCCCCTGCCTAACAGCCTCCAGTGGTTCCCTATTGCATGAAGAACCATGTCCAAACTCATTAGCAAGCTGATACAGAGGGTTCCTCAGAACTATCTGGAGGAATTTGGGCAAGAATGAATGATGACAAAATCATCCCTTATCTACCCTCACGGTTCCATCAGATTGAGTACTTTCCATATCTGGAACTTGAAAAGCAGAGAAAAAAACATATTTATGCAGCTTCTCAGTGAAATTGAGGAAGGGAGCGACACAACCAGCTTTGGTTTCTACGCATTTTGATTGTGGTCTTTTTGTTGCCTTCAGGACACGGTGTGGTGGTAGGCTGGACAAGAGCCATCTCAGGATGGAGGGGTATGCATGGCAGCAGACCCTATTTGTGGCTCCCCCAGAGCTCTGCTGTCTGGCCCACCCCGAGATCCTGTTTACACGAAGGGTGGGAGGGGTGGTTAGAGAAGGGACAGCGTTTGTGTCCCAGGGATTTGTCATAACACTGTGCACATAAAATGCCAAACACGAAGCCCTTAATCTCTGCTCCCCACTCAGCTCTCTGAGGCCATTGGAACTGGTCCTACTTCTCATGGGGCTCATATATATGCCCAGGCTGGTACAGCAGAAACAAAGGCTACTCACTGGTTTTTCTTTCTTGAGACCCCTTCAGGAACATGGGGGACTTAATCTTTATCAGCTCTCAGACTTGTTCCTCTTAGGGAGACACAATTTAACAAATATTAGAAATCAAGACATTTTTCTGATTGGGTCATATTAATCACCAAAACTTTTTTACTGATATCTGAGATTAAAATAAGCTCAAAGTTCACACAAAATAATCATCAACAATACTTTGTTAAAAACCAACAACCTTCTTTACTGGCCCCTCCTATATTTTTTAATCTTCCAAAATGAAATATTTATGCACAGATTATGCATAAAGTTCATATTCACAGGCTTTTCATGATCTGGCTGCTTCCTCTCCGCCCACTATTATTCCTGGCCCCACGTCTGCAGTCACCCTAATATGCAGCCACCATAAACTATTTACTATTCCCCAATTTGCCACTTGTTCTCAAACCTCTGTGCCTTTATAGGTACTATTCCCTTTAGCTGGTTCACCCCTTTGCCTCTCATTTACTTGGTGAACTAAAGCACCTTTAAGCTTAAGCTCAAATATAACATTGTTTTTGATGCTTTGTCCAAATCTTCAAGATAGTACAGTAGATGTACAATACACACACACACACACACACACACACACACATATATATATAATCTTAATTCTTTAGTCAACAATGAAGTGTTAGAAAATGCATTGAAGAAATCTTCTACTAACCCAAAAGAGTTTATCATTTTGTACCCCATAAACTAATGGGGTATATATTTTTAATTTGTAAGAGGAGTTTTAAACCAAGTGAGCAACCACATAATTCCAACTTCATTCATCTAAATTATTTCCTACCATTTATTTTCTAATGGATTTTCTAATGTAATGCTAAATGGCCAAGTCCTGACTCAGCCCTAACTAGCAAATCACTTTAACACTTTAAGATTTTATGTTTCTAATATTGGTTGATGCTTTTTACTCTTTAGCCCAGAGATTGCTCAGTAGCCTATTTAAAAGAAGAAACACAATGGAACAAACACTTTGCTATTTCTTTCAAATAACATAGAATCATATTCACAGGGTCTATTTGCACTTTAAAATTACCTGACTCAGGAATTCTCCAAGTCTTCTTTGTAGAACCATATGGTACTTTCTAACATGTTTTGGGATGTTTCATGAGTCTGGTTACTTAATAAATAACATGTATTGAGCCCTTAAATTCTAGAAGCTATTCTGATTCATTCGTGTTCACTTGCTGTCCAAGCAGGGCTGGGTGTGCTCGCTGGGAGAAAGGTGCGGGAAGGCTGCTGAGCGGGCAGCCAAGCATCCCAGCGCTTTTCCGAGTTCCTACAGCCAAGAGACCGCCTCCACCGAAGAATTGTTAGCATCCTTTAAAACAACTTTTATGAAATGCTTGTGTAGAAAGGGCCAGTTCCATAGATTCTCATAAGTAGCAGTTGTCTCGATGACAGTTGGCGTTACTTTACAAAAGAGCAAGTAAAAGCTTAAACAGTGCATGCTCTAACCTCAGATCACTGGTTTAAAAACTAGAATTGGAACCTACATCTCTTGACTTCTAGTACAGTGATCTTTCAGTTACATGATATTTTTTGGATTAATTATAGATCCAATTATCCATGTTTTTAATATTATGTGATAAAGTAGCACCTCATCTCTTTTGGAATTGAGATACAGTGCATATTAATAAATAGATACTATGAATAGCTGTAAATCAAAAGCTAATAAGGGAATAAAGATTAGAATATGAAGATGGAGAACATTTTTTAAAAAATCCTTTAAGTTTTCTGAAATGAATTTGCTCCTGTTGTGCATACACATGTGTGGGGGTGTGTGTGTGTGTGTGTGTGTGTGTGTGTGTGTGTGTAGGAGGAAAGTGCACCAAAAGCATTATGCTAATGTGATTCCTAGGGATTGTTTTTCTGCATTGTGGATATTGTTTTGTTTTTTTTTTTGACATTTCAAATGTCTGCATATAGGGCCATCTGTAAATAAGGCAGATTAGTGAGGACAATTAATTTTGAAGTTGGGAAGAATCAGTTGTTTAGTCTTTCCCCCAGTAGTTCATGTGCTGCCTTTAAACCTTGCACTCTTCTCCAAAAGGCCTCACAAGG